GAAGCCTTATGCTTATGTCAGCTAGCACCAGAGAGATCCTACACTCTTTAAACCTTGTGAAACCGAGCTTCTTTGCTATGGAATGGGGCATGAGGTTTATACTTGCACCAAGATCACACAAACAGCTTTGAAACGTCAAGGGACCGAGTGCACATGGTATGGTGAACGATCATGGATCTCCAAGCTTCTTAGGAACAATCTCTTTGTGAATAATAACGCTGCACTCTTCACTCAACACCAAAACCTCTTGACTTTCCTTAGTCTTCTTAGTAAGAGTATCTTTGAAAAACTTTGCACACTTAGGCATCATGGCCAAACAATCCACCAAAGGTAGCTTGATCTCAACATCTTTCAAATGCTTCTCAAAGACTGCTCTATGCTTCTCTAGAAGCTGTTTCTTGAACCGTCCAGGAAAAGGAAGCTTCGGCTTGTATGGTGAAGGAACAAATGCATCTTTCTCTTTGCTCATCTCCTCTACTTTCTTCTCTACAACGGCTTCCTTACCCTTCCTTGGTCTCTCAATCCACACATTATCAAAGGTGATCTCCTCATCGTTCGAAAGCTTACCCTCCCCCTCTTGAACCACAATGTCCTCATTGTCTTTAGGTGCAACTCTCGGTGGTAGCTCCTTCCCACTTCGTAAGGTAATAGCGTTTGCAATCTCTTTGGGATTCTGCTCACACTTGCCCGGTAAGCTGTTCTGGCCGCTTGTACTAGCCTTTCCTTTCTCTAACTGCTTGATCTTGTTGTTCAGATTGGTTATCTGTGTTGAGACATCAGTAAGAGAAGAATCTAGCTGGTTGTTCATCTCAGCAAACTTCTGATTAGTTGAAGCTTGACCTTGAAGCAACTGTTGGAACATTGCTTGTACCGGATCTTGAGGTTGGGGTTGCATCTGTTGTTGTGGAACAAAGCCGGGAGGAAACATAGGAGTGTAGCCTTTGTTGCCTTGCTGTTGCTGCTGATCCTGGAAGTTCCCCTGCCTCTGCCCTTGAAAGCCACTATTCTGCTGAAAACCCTTGTTGTAAGGGATAAATGGCTTTGCTTGCTGAGGGGGGTACACCTGATCCTTTGGATTCTCAACGTTGGTGCTACGGTATGAGAGGTTGTTGTTGCCATGGTAGCATTGAGAATAGCCTTGTGGCTTGTTGTAGTTCTGACCAGCAACCCAATTAGCTTCCTCTTCTTGGCATTGCTCGAGCTTATCTAAGACATCTGCGGCTTCTCCAACAAAATGCACTTGTTTTTGGTTGGCAAGGACAACTTATCAATCTTCTCATGCAACAACTTCATTTCTTTCTTTTGAGCTTCAAGATCAGCTCCTCTTGGTGCGCGGTCATAGTCCTCTGAATAGTTCCCATCATTCAATGCCAAATTCTCTATGAGTTCCATACCTTCTTCCACCTCTTGGCCAAGAAAGTTTCCTTTGCTTGCTGTGTCAAGGAGCAATCTGATCTTTGGAAGAGCTCCACGGTATATGGTACTCAAGAGTGTCTCTTCACTGAATCCATGGTGAGGGCAAGCTATAGTGTAATCTTTGAAACGCTCCATAGCTTCATTGAATGTCTCATTCTGCCTTTGAGTGAAGCCACTAATCTCACTTCTCAACCGAGCTGTTCTTGTGCTTGAGAAAAACTTTGAGAGAAAAGATTTTTTACAGTCAGCCCAAGAAGTAATAGTGCCTTGTGGAAGAGTCTTCTCCCAATGTCTACCTTTGTTACCAAGGGAAAAGGGAAACAACCGCAACTTGAAGCTGTCCTCCGAGATACCATTTATCTTCAACATCCCACAAATCTGCTCAAATTTGTCTAGATGCGCCAATGGGTCTTCCAGAGCTAGCCCATGAAACTTGTTATTTTGAACCATCTGAACAAACTCTGGCTTGATCTCGAAGTTATTGTTTTGGACTGGTGGAGGAGTAATCCCAAAGCGATTATGATGTATATTAGGAGCATCTCCAGCACCAATGATCTGAGGTGGTCTAGCGGCATGATTGGGGTTTCCATTGCCCCTTCCTACAGCACCGTGAGCTGGTGGAGGTCCCTCAGGATTTTCTTGCTCAGCCATACTTTCAAAGTCAACTGTACCAGCTTGCACAATCTCTTCAAAGGCTTGAGCTTGCTCTCTTGCTCTTCTTGTTCTTGAACTTCCGAGTTGATGAATATTGTCCAGGGGTTTAAGTAGATTGTTGTCACCCCTGGAGCGCAGATTCATGTACCTGAAAGACACAAGTGTGAAGAGAAAGAGATTAGTAACCAAAATTAAAGCAAAGGCCTAGTCTTTACTAAACCTCAAATCCTAATGCTTCCTAACAATCCTAAGATGGCAACGACGCCATTTGATAAACAGGATTTTCGCAAGTCAGAATATCAAATCCCAAACCACAAAAATGATGTAGTATAGCAGTAAGGGTATCAATCCAACCTAGGAAGCAGGAAGAACACTAGGAATGCAAGAGTGAAGCAAATCGAAGCAGATCGGAAAACTGATTGGTAAAATCAAAGAAAACTAAATGCAATGACCAAATGAAATGCAAAACTATTTTAAAATCCCTGGAAGAGGATTAACTACTACTAGGAAAAAGCAGAAGATTAAAAATGCAAATCTACTAAGAACTAAAAATCGAGCACTGAATCGGGTAAAACAGATCGATCTAACAACTTTAAGGCAATGACTTCAAATGAACAAAGATGCAAGCTTTATGAAAATAGAATGACAAACAGAGGTTTTAAAATGCTAAAAGAGGGTTCAGGGTTGAGGGTCATATTCAAGAGTTCTCAAGGGTCAAGCTTTGGTTTGAAAACACATAGATCTACTCATTGATGAGCTTTCTCTAAGCCTTGAAAACAAAACAAAAACCATCCATGGCGTGTGGTATGATTCACTTCCTCAATCTCTTCTCCAAACCCATGGCGTTTGGTGGAAAAAGAGATCAAAGAGCAAGAAAAAACAGATTTCAATCTATGGCCTAACTAACCTCCTCTACATCCATGGCGTTTGGGAGAGGGTCGATTAGTCTCTAGGACTTGCTTTTCTAGGATATCTGAATCCGGTCAAGGTAAGACAGCTTTGGAATCATATAGATCTTTTCCAAGACTCTCTAAGCCTTGCGACCCCAAGATCCTAGAAGAGAAGGAATGAAGAACAAGAAAAACACAAAACTTAACCCTCTTAAACCCTTGAATCGCCTCAACCCTTTACCCAAAGGAAAACTACTCGCTACTCATGATTGAAACCAATTGAGACGCAATGAAAGATAAACTAAGCGATTGATTAAAGGAAAAGACTTGATATTCAAAAGATTCAAGTTCAAAATATCAAAAAGCTTAAGGTTTGATAATGGCGGAATCACCTCACACGAAGAACAGAAAAAGCAAAAGCAAAACGTAGGATAATGAAAATGATAGCCGCATCTTGCCTAAAATGGCCAAACATGCCTAATGGTCCCCCCACTACGCTCCAAAAACGGTTAAAGTACACGAGATCGATCTTGAGATCGATCAGTGCATTCGATCGTCTTCAGGAAACGCCTTCTGCTGCTCGATCTGCAAGTCGATCTGGTTGGATGGATCGAGTACTTCGTCCGATCTTCTACTCGATCCTTGGATGATCGAGTCGTGGTCTCGATCTAGCTCTCGTTCTGCATGGCGTCATTTACGTCTGTACTCCAGATTAATCTCCTCCCTCGATCTTGGTCTCGATCTTTCTTCTTGAATCGACCTGGGTCACTCGATCTTCTGGTCGATCTCATCTAGATCGTCCTGTCTTGCTCCATCCGCTACTCGATCTCGGGTCCTTTGCATGCATGGTTGAGTTCTCCAAGTGTCCACGAGCTTCGTTTTGATCCTCCTCACGTCCACAACCTCCACAACTCCAGAGTGCTTCAAACAACCTGATAATGATGCAAAAGTGCAAGAAATATGCAAAATGCGAATGCAAAGAGACCTAGGACCTAAAATGCAACAAATAGAACAAACTAGCCTATAATGCAAAATGAATTCATGAAAAACTATCCTAAATACATGCAAAATATGCAAAATATATGGTAATATCAACATGGCCGGGGTTTCAATCTCTTCGGATTGAGTTCACGCTATTATCCGTTAACTTATCATTTTTTACTATTCTTGAATTGACCGAACTCGCCTATGCGTGTTGCTGAAGGATGAGCTATTGACCTGCTTTACCTCCTCTTAGCCATCATCATATCGTTTCTTGGTAGATATAGAGTATTTAATGCGCTTTGGATTTCCACAGTGTTGTTTTTCTACATATTAGGTTTAGTGGACCATAACGTAGTTCATAACCCAATAGATACACAAACTCAATGAAATATTCAATATAAAAAGATATTAACAAATAAACATTAAAAATAATTATTAAAATTAAAAAAAACAAACAAAACATCAAAATCTTAATAAGAAAAAAAAAATTTAAATTAAACATTTATACACATCATCAAAATTAAATAATTTGATAAATATTATTATTATTATTTATTTGCTTAATAAATTTAAATTTTATAAATAAAAAATAAGAGGAAATAAACTATAAATCATATTTTAATTTTTTATGTATTTTTTTAATAAATTTATTATAATCATAATTATTTAAAAAATATTATATAAAATAAACCAAACTATAGGTGCGGAATTAGAATTAAAAAGCCTAATAAAAATTAAATAGAATACCGAATGAAATTTCTTCTTATTTAAAGATAGAACCACATACATGTGGCAATCTGTCACTGGTCATAGAGATATTATACTTTGAGAAAACAGTCATTAAAATAATGAACTAACTGATATTCGCCAAAAGAAATACACTCTTTGACGAGCCCAAAAATACACAAACTTGTGTTGACATAGCCAACTTAGATACAATTTAGTCAACTTTAATTTCAGATTAAAATATGTTTAGTCACCATTTATTCTACTTTTGAGGCATTGTATCGGTTGTTGATAATATTGACTTGAGTAAACTCTTTCATACTCTTTCAGTGCCACTCATTTCTCATCTTTCTCCCAATGAACATCGTTACAGAACTCCAGAAAAGGTACATTGCGTTTTCTATTTATATATAGTTTTTCTTCTGCTTAACTTGCTTTGATAGGTCTTTTATACTCTAGTGTGGTCGAATCTGCTTTAAAAAAAAACATCGTTTAAATTACTACCAAATATTGTTTTCTTTTTATATTATTATGTTTTACCCCTTAACTTGCTTTAATCTGTTTTTTTTTGTTGTTGTGGTCGAATCTATTTTGAAAATTAAAAAAGCTGGCTTATTACAAATTCTAGTTTCACGAATTTGAGGCACTTGAATCATTTAACAAATTTGGTTAAATGAAGATATAATAAAATGTAAAAACATTATTCGGACAGGTTTTATGTCTCACTAGATCGACGACCAGTCATCGGGAAATGAACAATATTTGGAATTTGAGGCACTTGAATCATTTTAGATCTTTTTACAAGCTTGGATTATTATTGTCAGTTTGACCCCAAAATAAAAAGGATTATTATTGTCATTGGTGTTTGTTGTCTTATGTTTTGACAGAATAGTTATGGTTGAGGGAGTTGTGTGGTTTGGAGTGCAAAAACTTTGGGAACTCTTGAGTCGAGAATCTGAGCGACTACATGGAGTTCATGAGGAAGTTGCTGAATTAAAATGTCAGGTGAGAGCCTTGCAATCATTGTTGAAAGATGCATATGCCAGGAAAAATGAGAATGAAAGAGTGAGTAACTTCTTGGAAGATGTCAAGGACATTGTTGATGATGCTGAAGATACAATCGAATCCTTTCTTCTGAAAGAATTTAGTGGAAAGGAAAAAGGGATCAAGAAACGTGTGAAAAGACTTTCTTGCCTCTTAGTGGATCGTCGGAAGTTTGCTACAAATATCGAAGGCATAACTTAGAGGATCTCTGAGGTGACTGCGCGGATGCAAAGCTTTGGAATACAACATATAATGGATAGTGGTCATTCGCTTTCTCTACAAGAGAGACAAAGGGTACGAAGGGAGATCCGACAAACATTTCCTAACAGTTCTGAAAATAATCCTGTGGGAGTGGAACAGAGTGTTGAGAAATTAGTTGATCAGCTGGTGAAAAATGATAATATTCAAGTGGTTTCTATAACCGGGATGGGTGGTATTGGCAAAACGACGCTAGCTAGACAAGTTTTTCATCATGACACTGTCCGACGTCATTTCGATGGATTTGCATGGGTATGTATTTTGCAAGATTTTAAGCGAAAAGATGTTTGGCAAAGGATCTTGCAAGATCTTAGACCACATGATGGGGACATTTCACAGATGGATGATCATACACTCCAGGGTAAACTCTTTCAATTGTTGGAAACATCTAGATATTTGATTGTCATCGATGATGTATGGAAAAACGAAGATTGGGACCGAATAAAAGCTGTGTTTCCCCCAAAAAGAGGTGAATTTTAATTGCACAAACATTAATATTTTTCCTTTTCAGTTTCATAAGTTATTGTTAAAAGACGATACACAATGATCGTAATTGCTTTTTGTCCCTAACAGGAAAATTAATTTGCAGATACGAAGATGCTACTTATTCTCGCGATGAAGGAGTTGGTTTACATGCAGATCCAACATGTTTTGCCTTTCCAACAAGAAATCTTACTCCGGAAGAAAGTTGGATGCTATGTGAGAGCATAGTATTCCCCAATGGAGTTAAAACTGGTAAGCTTTCAAATTTTGTGAATTCTTATTTTCTCTTATAAAATCCTAAAAGCTTACAAAGTCTCTCATGATTTCCAGATGTTTATATAAAAAATATAGTAGATTAGTTCAATAAATTCCTATATACATCCAATCCTCTCTATTAGACATATACGCAACATATTTATTTCAATGGTTGTCAGAACATAGGGTTGATGAAGAACTAGAAACTATGGGTAAAGAAATGGTCACATATTGTGGAGGGCTACCATTGGCTGTTAAAGTATTGGGAGGCTTGTTAGCTAAGAAATACACAGTTCCCGAGTGGAAAAGAGTATATGACAATCTTAGAACTCAGATCGTTGGAAAACCAGGTTTAGATGACAACAACCTCAATTCGGTTTACCGAGTATTGTCTCTAAGCTATGAAGATTTGCCAATGCAGTTGAAGCATAGCTTCCTTTACCTAGCCCAGTTCCCTGAAGATTACAAGATACTTTTCGTGTTATTGTTTCCTTATTGGGCTGCAGAAGGAATAATAACGCCAGTTTACAATGGAGCAACCATTCAAGAAATTGGAAGAGACTACCTAGAAGAGCTAGTGAGGAGAAATATGGTCACTATTGTAAAAGACGATTCGAGTTCGATAAGGGACTATTGTCAAATGCATGACATGATGAGAGAAGTATGTTTATATAAAGCCAAAGAAGAGAATTTTCTTGAAGTCATCAAAGTCTCTACTTCCACCTCTATTATCAGTGCGCATACCTCTGCAAGTTCTCGCAGAGTTGTTGTATATGATGGTAATGCACTTCATTTGCGGGGACAAAAAATCAATAAAAAAGCCAGATCTGTTTTGTGTTTTGGGGACAAGAAATTCTTGTGCAAGAAGCAGTCTCAAGGTTTCCGAGGCTTACCATTTCTCAGGTTGTTAGATCTGAATAATGCCAAGTTTGAAGGAGGGAAATTACCTTCTAGCATCGGAGAGCTCATTCACTTGAGATTGTTGAACTTATGCCGTGCTTCGGTATCTCATCTGCCTCATTCCCTGCGAAATCTAAGGCTTCTGCTCTATTTAGACTCAAACGTCATTGGGGTAGTTGATGTGCCAAACATTTTTAAAGAGATGCGAGAGTTGAGGTTCCTTGCGCTGCCGCTTGATATGGATGATAAAACAAAACTGGAAGTGGGTCATCTAGTGAATCTGGAGACGTTGTGGCATTTCTCAACGAAACACAGTATTGCGACAGACCTCCTCCGTATGACTAAGCTCAGAAATCTCGTGGTAAATTTCCTTGGAGATTACTGTACTTATGAAACTCTATCGTCATATCTTTGTGAATTGAAAAACCTCGAGTGGTTTGGTTTATTTGATTTTGCCGAATCCCAAAAAGCTCGTCATGGGGAATATTTCTCTCTCGGTTTCATTCCTCTAAAGGAATTACTTTTGGTCATACATTTGCCAAAATTTCCTGATCAATTTCGATTCCCTCCCCACCTTGCACACATATCCCTACGCTATTGCAGGATGGAGGAGGATCCAATGCTGATTCTGGAAAAGTTGCTTCATTTAAAATCGGTTGTGTTATTAAAGGATGCTTTTATTGGGAGGAGAATGGTGTGCTGCAAGAATATCCAATCTACAAGAGTTGGAAGAGTGGATCGTGGAAGAAGGGTCGATGCCATGTCTTCGTATGTTGACTATCTGTGATTGCAAAAGGTTGAAGGAGCTACCGGAGGGGCTCAAGTATATAACTTCTTTAAAGAGCTGGTAATCGAAAGCATGAACAGGGAGTGGACGAGGAAACTGGTAGGACTCTAATCTGAAATACCCCTATGTACCGTAAGAAAATCCTATTTGTCTCTATTATAACATTTATTTTCTTTTTGATTTATATTTTAAATAAAAATACGTAAAAAGATGATAAAGATTTAATAAATCAAAGAAATTACAAACTAACCAAATAATAATCAATTGGGTTTTGGCCCAAATTAAATCTAAATTCAGTCCACAGTTAAACTCAAACAAAAATGAAAAACAACATTTTTCTTTATTTATTTTCTAATTTTCGATCAAATCCTTAATTTTTTATTTTCTACACTACAAACAAAACCCTAATCCTCCTTCTCCAGCACCGAAACGTCATCCGTCGCCGACATCGCATTTCCAAGAAACCACTGTGGACTTTAATTCCCGATCTCATGGCACCTCGTAGGAGAGAATGAAAATCAGTTCGGTTGAGAACGCCTTCGCCAGATCATACTCTTTCGCCACCGCCATCGAGTTCAAATCTGCCGGCGAAGAAGAAAACAGAGGCGGTGAAGCGTTTGGCGGCACCGCGAGGAAAAGAGAAGAAGTCGCAGAAGAAATCAAAGCACGGAACTTCGAGTGCTCTGTCTCCACCTCCGCCTCCGCCTCCAACGGGTTAGGTGACTAATTGAGAAGAAGAAAGTCCACCTCCGGTGATTGAACGAGAAGAAGAAAGTATTGGCCTCTAGATCATCCCTCTCCCTTCCCGTGTGGCTCCGACGGTGCAACCGGCACCCGGTCCGCCTCTGATTCCAGAACCAACAACCGGTTCGTCATTGCAACCACCACCGGTAAACCCTAAGTTTTGTTGTACAATGGCTAGTATAACTTGGTCCAACTAGTCCGACTAGTATGAGTAGTTCAAGTAGTTCAAGTAGTTCAACTAGAACGATTAGTATAACTAGTCTAATTAGTTCAACTAGTCTAAGTAGGTCAACTAGAACGAGTAGTACGATCATTTTGGATTGCATGAAATGTCGAGTCTGAGATGGAATTGGGTTCAAATCTTATATATAGTATAACTAGGTCAGCGATTTTGGTTTATTTTCGATATAATGAGTTTCATCGATTTTGGTTTATTTTTGTTAGGTGGAGACGATGTGGATACAGTCTGAACTCCTACTAAGGTGAAAATCAACAAACGACCTAGTCTTCAAGCCCAAGCAGCAAAGAAATTGATTAAGAAGCTTAAGAGGAGTAAGACTCGAAGGCCAAAAAGGAAGTTGAATCGTTCACGTTTGGTGAATGACCCTTTTGTTATTATGTAAGAACTTAGGCATTTGAACTTATGTTGTGTGCTATGTTAGAATTTGTCTTTGTGTTTTTTAGGATTTGGACATATATATTTTATGCAAGTCTTTTTTTTATGTGTTGAATTAAAAGGTACAACTAGCATAACTAGACCAACTAGAACTGAATTTAAAAAAAAATGTGTGGCAGAAAAAAAAAACGTGTGGCAGAAAGTTTAAAATGGATAAAATATGAAGTCACATGCGTCGACAAAAGAGGAAATGAATAAAAAATGACCACTTGTGCCGTCAAAATAAAAATTGAATCCAATTTCTAATAATATAGTCGTACCCAGTTTTTAGTTGTACCCTATATACATAAAATTATATTTTGATGGTAGAATTTTGTAATCAGTAGTACCATACCTTAAATTAAACTTTTTTAGTTGTACTTGTGAAATTTAGTAAATAAACTACATTTAACATATTCTAATGCTATAACTTGTATAAAAATACAAACTTATATGGTTTTCATGTTTGTGAGGTTAAGATTTTCAAAGTAACCTTAAAAGTATAAGGTAGATTGTGTAGACATCACATTTTTATGGATCAAACATTTTCATGGATCAAATTTATTTAACTATGAAAAGTTCAAATATGTTTGCACATGTTCTATGGCCTGTTTTATATGGAAATATGTTTACAAATACGTTTAGAAATTGTGTTATTGGCATTTTTGTTGAAAGCATAGTCGTACTGGTTTTCCAGTTGGACTTGAGTACAACTAAAATGTAGTTGAACTACTTGTACTTAAAATGAGTGGTACTAGTCGCACCAGTCGTACCAGACATATTAGACACAGAATATAGAGTTGTACTAGTGGATAGTAACTAATTTTCAGCTGAGATGTATCTGCATCTGTCAAAACTTTTCTGCAAAATCCCTCCACTAATCGAACATAAGTGACATCCTCCTAAGATTTCCTCATCACTAAAGTGTGAATCTCATCTTCTCTAGAATTCCATATAATTTTATCACTGTCTGTTGAATAGAATCTCCCATAATCAAAACATATGACTGTGCAACCACTCTTACTCATTTCCCCTGAAAAGAACAAAATAATCGTAAGGTAATCTTATCATCGTTATACCAGTTTTCCTAGTCGTATTAATTCACTTAATATGTCAAGTTGTGCTAGTTGTACCCAGTAGTACCCATAAAGTTTGATTCATCATACGAATCATCAGATTTATTACGATTCATTGCTCAGTTAACCAAGATATCCCATTTAATTAACAATATCAGTTTCTAATAGCCTTACCCAACTAGCTCAGTGACTCAAATGAGCAAAAAAAAAATTAAAATTTTATTTACTATGAAATTCCCTAATTGAAAAGAAACTATGTATTAATTGTTTTGCCTATGACATAAACTTGATAATTCAATCATGAAATCGAAAATAATATAAGAAACAGCAACAACTAATCTTCAATTTCACGCCTCCGATTTTGTCAATGGTGGAAATGTGAGAGGAAGAAGACGACGGGAGAAGCAATTAAATTTTGGTGGTTGGTTTCGTTGATTTAGAGAATTAATTTTAGGGTTGGTTTGAATTAAATTTCCTACCAAACCACTTAATTTCTTTTTCTTTTTCTTTTTTATATTAAATGAGTAAACCGTCAATTCATTAGTGGGAGGAACAGTTAGATTAGATAGGGGCAATTAGATCTTTTTGGTTATACGGAGGGATATTTGAGATTAAAGTCCAAACTGGTACCTGGTGGGGAAAGTTACTACAAAGTCCAACACATTCCTAATGTTTAATTTATCAACTGTGACGAAGAAGGAGAATGATAAGAAAAAAAAAAGGTTAAATCTTTATTCATTTGTTCGTTCTTTGTTCATCATCCTTGGCTTACGATGTTTGGTGTGAAAGTCTTACATTGATCTAACTCTTTCTTCTTCTTCTTTTTTTGCTTTTCAGGCGAGTAGATCTATTCAGAATCATTACCTACTCTTGCCCGTGTGTGATGTGTATGTTATAAGTCATTTGTATTGTGTTAAATGTAACTTTTTCTTCTGAGATATTACATTTATGGGATGCGTGCTCTTTCTCTCTCCCTCTCTTACGATAAGTTTGAAATAAATTCTGTATTTCGAACTATCTTTTCTTCGATTTCTCCATCTCTTCCTCTGTTTTGTGTGTAATCTTTTACATACTGATTATTATGGCTAATGATTTGATGGTGACAGTGATTAGGTTATCTAGTCTGATCATAAGTCAAACTGTGCTATAACTTTGAGCATATTTTCATAGCTCCCCTGACAATTTTTGTTAATTTTCTTTTAAATAACAGAAACGAGAAGAAAAATCGGTTAAAACTTAAATGTAATAAAAATCAGAATGGTTGATATGCCCATTATTATTATGATGATGATCAGCACCACATTACACTGCTGAAGAATGATGATGATTTCTCTCTAACCTAAAGCACAATTACACAATTCTTGTAAGCCTTAAAATTCAAACAAAGGAAATTAACAGTTCATGAAAAGAACCACAAAGAGTGGCACTACAAATCTAGTTTTCCCCTTTTTATAGATAATAAAATCTTGGATTTCACCAAGTTTAGAGCTTCACCACAATAGGACTCCTTACACGGTGTTTCTTGTCTGACCAAACCAAATCTCCAAACACATAACCCTTAGCTACTTTTCCCTTACGCTTCACAATTGTCACCTTAAACATCTTTTGCTCTCCAGCTTTGGTGAAATTTAAGCTCGTTGGCTTAACCACAACATAAACACCTTCTGGGTTATTCACCCGGACAGTATAGGTGGAAGGTCGTCCAACGTTTTTAACTGTTCTTGAGACAGTGACTTTGCTTGACGATAGGTTTGGAACTGTGATGGAAGGATAGTTAAGGTTATAAAGACTGGTTTTACGGGTTGAACAGGTTAAGTTTTTGCCGGAGAAGACAGAGATTTGTGATGCATTGTATCCAAGGGAGCATAAGAAGTTGAGGTAATCCTTGATGCCTGAATCGTATACGAGACCGGGATTCACAGCTAGATTTGGTCGGACGTGTCCTGCTCCGAAGCTAAAAGGCGTTGCCTTCATGTTGGTTGAGTTTTGGATTGGTCCGGGAATGTCATCCATTGTTGTTGCTGAAACAGAGAAGTACAAAACGAAACAATGAGTAAAACAAAACTCCAACAAGAAAAACTTTTATTTCCAACGCAAGAACAAGAACACAAAACATGGCCAAGGAAGAAACAAGACTTGTTCGAAAATCGAAATGCATTCTTACCAGTTGTCATAATAGCAGAGCGGATAGCTGCAGGGCTCCAAGAAGGATAACGGGTTTTGAGAAGACCCGCAATTCCAGAGACATGAGGACAAGACATGGAAGTTCCTGAAACAGCATTGAACAGAAGACGACGAGGATCAAACTGTTCGTTTGTTGGAGATACTGCTCCAGTGTAGGCGGCGATCACACTCACACCAGGCGCAGTTATGTCCGGCTTCAGAATTTCAGGAGCCACCGAGCTCGGACCCTTAGACGAGAAAGCAGCCATTACAGGAGCTGGCTTTGTTCCCAAAACTGTCCTCGAAGGAGTAATGTGAGCAATCGGCTTCCTAAATCCATAAAGAAAAGGTTTTTTTTTCAGAACTCGAAACAAGTTGAGTTTTGGGGTATAGTGACTGAAGAATCCTCTTACTTGGTTTCGCTGATATATCTTGACAAGGCAAGACTGTCCTTGAAACTGAGCTGTGTGGCTGGGAGGACGTGCGGATCAGCGGTTAGATCATTCCCAGTGACATTA